TGTTCATATTTCTACCCATGAGTTTGTGCTGTTCTTCACCTTCATCTTTTTTCATTGGGCATTAGTTAATGTTGAGACTTTTATTATTATTATTATTATTATTATTATTATTTTATTTTACAATACTATTCAGTTCTACATAACAGCCACAGATTCCCTTGTTCTCCCCCTTCCTGCCCTCTCCCCTTCCCCCCAGCCCACCCCCCATTCCTACCCCTTCCAGAGCATGGCCTCCCCTGAGGACTGAGATCGACCTAATAGACTCAGTCCAGGCAGGTCCAGTCCCCTCCTCCCAGATTGAGCAAGCGTCCCTGCGTAAGTCCCAGGTTTCAAACAACTAACTCATGCAATGAGCACAGGACCTGGTACCACTGCCTAGATGCCTCCCAAACAGATCAAGCCAATCAACTGTCTTACCTATTCAGAGGGCCTGATCCAGTTGGGGTCCCCTCAGCCTTTGGTTCATAGTTCATGTGTTTCCATTCGTTTGGCTATTTGTCTCTGTGCGTTATCCAACCTTGGTTTCAACAATTCTTGCTCATATAAACCCTCCTCTTTCTTGATAATTAGACTCCCAGCGCTCCACCCGGGGCCTAGCCGTGGATGTCTGCATCCAGATTCCTCAGTCCTTGGATCGGGTTTCTGGCACAACTATTAGGGTGTTTGGCCATCCCATCACCAGAGTAGGTCAGTCCCGGCTGTCTCTCGGCCAAAAAACTTGGAAACAACCTAGATGCCCTTCAACTGAAGAATGGATAAATAAATTGTGGCACATATACACAATGGAATACTACTCAGCAGAGGAAAAACAATGACATCATGAGGTTTGCAGGCAAATGGGTGGATCTAGAAAAAAATCATCCTGAGTGAGGTAACCCAGAATCAGAAAGACAAATATGGTATGTACTCACTCATAGGAGGATACTAGATATGGAACAAGGATGACTAGACTGCTATTCACAGCACCAGTGAGGCTACCTGGAAAACAGGACCCCAAGAAAGACACGAGGATTGCCCAGTGATGGAGAAATGGCTGAGATCTACATAAGCAACCTGGACATGAGTGGAAGCAATGAAGAGTGAGGGTCGAGGGAAAGAGAGTGGGAGATCCCAGCTGGATCAAGAACAGAGAGGGAGAACAAGAAATAAGAGACCATGGTAAATGAAGACCACACAAGAAGAAGAAGAAGAAGAAACAAAGTGCTAAAGAGGCCCACAGAAATCCACAAAGATACCCCCACAAAAGACTAATGTTGAGACTCTTAACTCATCAAAATGGAAAATAATTGACTGTGAGTGCTCAATAATTGATGCAATACCCAAAGTTCAGGAAACAGAACAGAACAGGGAATAGAAAGAATGTAAAAGCTAGAGGATCTGGAGGAGTGCTGTGAAATTGTCCTCTGTGAATCTTGCCCTCTGCGTTTGACTTGGTTTTTGTGCAAATGAACTCATATCGTCAGTGATTGCCTATAGAAAAACTATATGAGATCAAGCCCATTAATATTTCAGCATGGATAGGGCATGTCCTGAAATCCCATCTTGGCTGAGGAGCTATTGGGAATGGATGGCATCTGGATGAGTCAGGGTTTTTATTAATTTGGTTTATATCCATGGTTAGGTTTCCCATGCTTTTGTGGATGGAATACCACTCATGCCGAAATGAGTACCACAAATTATTCTGAGTGGGTTTTGTTTTTTAAAAAGGCTTGAAGTTGTGATGTAGCTGTATTTGGGCACCTATGGTGTGTTGGAGGAGGTATTGGCAAGTGTAGTAGATCAAGACACATTATATTTTTGAAATCTCCAAAGAATAAAAATATCATGTAAAACAAGCAAAAGCTTGAAAAGTAAATCAAGGACAGAAAATGACACTGGAAGAGCCAATGATTGTCTAGTTGAAGCTCTAAAACCAGATATTTCAGGAATAATGAACCAATATTTAAGGACATTATATTTGAGTAATTCACATTACACCTGAAGGATACCAGTTCTCATATCCATGACCTATTTACTCCAAGATTGAGTTTTTAAAAAATTCTTCAGAAACCAACTTGTAATGTCTTTTCATTATACCTATAGTTTAGTGCATCTCCCTACCATCATTAGAAATGTTTATCCATGGATGAATGGTGATGAACACAGAGACTGACAACTGTAAAAGATGCACATATTAAAAGACTTTGGAGTGATCAGCACTAAATGGGACTTCTATAGAACAGGTTTTCCTCCCAAGGCTCAGTAGTCACTTTTTGATGCAGAAGGAATGTATTATAGAGG